AGAGACATTTCCTCTTGTCTTCCCCCCACGGGGAAGAAGGTAAGGCTGCACAGAAGATGTTTGGTTTATGGAAAAAAGAGCCAAATGAGAGATACGCAGTATTGGTGTGGTGAATGTGGGGCAGCGTTGTGTTAGAAGAATGCTTCAAGGCCTACCTTACACTGCTCAAATTCTAAACACCTGCTTCCATTGCCGAGATACCCGGCGCTCATATTATAAGGTAAGGTTATAAAAACCATCTTTTAAGATCATTTTAGTGAAAGTTTCATGCTTCAAGGCGTACCATTCACTGCTCAGTTTCTAAACAACCTGCTTCCATTACCGAGATACCGGGCGCTCATATTATAAGGTAAGGTTATAAAACCACCTTTTAAGATCATTTTAGTGAAAGTTTCATGTTCCTATCTCATATATTTAAGAACAATGATGAATAAATCATTTTCGAGCAAAATTTAAATGGCCGGCTGAATATATTACCGCCGGAGAGACGGCAGCGGAATTTAAATGACCCCGCGAAAGGGTTAAAGAATAGACTACTGTTAAGTCTGGAAACAGGCTCAGAGAACATGCTGTACATGAGTATAGCTGCACTGGGGAAACAAACGTTTTATGGATATAAATATTCACAGTTAGTTGATACACAAAGTGTAGTTGAGTTATTAGTACCTGATCCTATCCCTTTTGAGGTTGAAATTGCTATTGCAAAGTTGGAAAGCTGTAAATCGCAAGGTAATTATTATGCCGTAAGGGGGGAGGGGGGTTGATGAAAATACTAAGTGCCGGTAGCACAGTAGGCGAGCGTTCTACCACTGTACCATCAGTGCCACCATATATTATGCCTCTGCGATGGGTGGATTGGCTATCTCACAGCTGGCACCATATATTATGCCTAGGTGATGGGGGGTGGGTTAAAACACAAATCACTACAACTGCCATTTCTCTTTGGCTAATCCATTCACTACGTCAGTCAACCCTTCGTTGACTCGTCCCACCGCTGTCACCATATGTCATGCCTTAGTGGCAGGGGTGGGTAAATACAACTACTAATTCACTTTGTCAGCCATCTCTCGTTGGCCGATCCCCCACCTCTGCCTCCAATTTGTTATGCCTGAAGGGGGCTAACGAAATGGTACTAAATCACTCTTTCCTTTTTCCATCAGGAACACCATCCCCTTGTCTACTACTGGTTCCTCACCCTTAACTGTTGTTGCATCCGGCTGCCGTTGGCTGCTTGGGGTCAGTTCTGCCTTTCATTGGGACTGCGAAAGGGTGGAGTTTGTGAGGGTGAATCATAACTCTGTGTACATCCTACCCTAATTACACTGTCTGTTTACACTATTATTTACAGTACAGAAATGCCAATGGGCTGTTGGGTACATGCTATCAGTCCGAGAACTGGTTCTTACTTTCATTCTAGTGTCTCGCCTAGAGCCGATGGCTTGAGACCGTAACTTCCCTTCATTCCTATTACACGATACACCATCTCTGTCCTACGCACACTGATTCTATTTACACTTCCGTTTACCTCCTATTTACAGTAATAACAATGCCGACTTTCAGTCGGGACTACATAGTGTCTTTCCCTTAACTCATTCTCACTTTCCTTCAGTGCTCCCACCTAGGGAGTATGACTTGAGGCTGCCCTTTCCTTCATTTCCTACCCTAAGGACACTGGTCTGATACACTCTTATTTTACGACAAAGTGAGGCCGACTTTCAGCTGGTTTACTTAACATCGTTTCTCTACTCACTATTACTCTTATTCTAATTTCCCTCTTGGGGGTTATGCCTTGAGACTGTTGCTTCCCTCCATTGCCTGTCACTCGATCCACAATTTCTACCCTATTCCACCCTGGCACTCGCAGGGCCCCTGGAGATTGCACTTCAAGTTCACGCAACAACACTGAATTTAAATAGCATGGCTAGTATGAGTAAAGAGACTTACTTGAAATAGAGACGCAGATAAGTGTCGCCACCCACCATCTTGTAATACCCATGTCGGACAAAGCCTCCGGCTGCTGGTCGAATATTACGTTTGATAGATCGTTTTTTTTTTCCTGAAAGTCTTTCCTTCGCTCTTTATACCAAAAAACTGCTCACGCAGCAGCTAACACACAAGGGAAGTACCTCCTTCCCTTGACCTAAATTTATGAGTGGCGGCTCCCCATTGGTTCAAACTTCTGTTCTCTCTAACGAATCCTTGGCATCTCCTGTGAGCATTTTGTAATTTCATGCTACCCAGTGGCCTACTGAAGCGCTCTCTGTTCATGCTATTATGCACTTCTGCTGACTAAGATGTTTGTTTGACCGCGTTCCACAGCCTATGTGTGGCCATCATTGCCCTAATTGCTGTAAAACGCTTTTGCAAGTCTCGTAACATTTAGGCAATGCCTTTGATTTCCAGTCTCGAAATTGCGGCACAACAGTAATGATCAGATTTTGGCAGAACTGATTCAAGCAGAGGGTGAAATATTACATTCTAATATCCATAAGCTCAAGGTTAAGTCCGTATATAGATGAAATTATTGGAGATCATCAATGTGGGTTTCAGCATAACAGGTAAACAACTGTTCAAATCTTTTGCATTCATCAGATACTGGGGAAAAAATGGGAGTACAATGAGACAGTATGTCAGCTATTCATAGACTTCATGAAAGCCTGTGATTGTACAATATTCTCATAGAGTTTTGGGTACCAATGAAAGTAGAGAGGCTTATTACAATGTGTTTAAACGAAACGTGTAGTAAAGTCCGTGTAGGTAAACATTTGTCTGATAATTTTCCTATCAAGAATGGTCAAAAAGAAGGAAATGCTTTATCACTACTGCATTTAAACTTTGCCTTAGAATATGCAATTAGGAAGGTCCAGGGAAACCAGGTGGGACTGAAATTAAACGGGACACATCAGCTGTTGGCCTATGCCGATGTGAATCTACTGGGTGATAATGTAGATACCATAAAGATGAACACACATGCTTTAGTTAACACTAGTAAGGAGGTGGTCTGGAAGTAAACACAGAGTAAACAAAGTATATGTTGCTGTCTCATCACCAGAATGCAGAGCAAAATTAGAACATTAAGATAGTCAACAGATATTTTGAAAATGTGGCATGCTTCAGATATTTTGGAATGATAGTAAGAAATCAAGACCTCATTCACGAGGAAATTAAGAAGAGTTTGAATTCAGGTAATGCTTGCTACTATTCAGTCCAGAACCTTTTGTCTTCTCATCTGCTGTCCAAAAACAAAAATTAGAATATACAAAAGTGTAATTTTGCCTCTGGTTCTGTATGGATGTGAAACTTGGTTACTGGCATTAAGGGAAGAACATAGACTGAGGGTGTTTGAGAACAGGCTGTTAGCGAGAGTATCTGGACTGAAGAGAGATGAAGTGATGGGAGGCTGGAGAAAACTACATAATGAGGAACTTCATAACTTGTACTCTTCTCTAAGTATAATTAGAATGATCCAAGTCAAGGAGGATGAGGTGGGTGGGGCATGTAGCATGAATGGGGGAGAGGAGGAATTCATATTTGATATTGGTGGGAAAGCCAGAAGGAAAGAGGCCACTAGGAAGACGAAGACATAGGTGGGTGAACAATATGAAAATGGATTGTAGAGAGATAGGATGGGTCGGTATGGATTGGGTTGATGTGGCTCAGGATAGGGACCAGTGGAGGGCTCTTGTGAACACAGTAATGAACCTTGGGGTTCCATAATATGCTGGGAAGTTCTTGAGTAGCTGCACAATTGGTGGTTTCTCAAGAAGGGCTCAGCTCCATGAGAGTGAAAATTGTTAAATTAATTATTATTATTATGAAATCTCAGTTTCAGATATCAAATTGTGTAAATATAACAATTTGTCTCTACCGTCCACAGGTCCTAGTATGGAGTGTCATGTGAAACATAGTTCAAATATTTCTAAATATCATAAGTGTAATAAGATCCTGGCCATATTAAATGTTATGGAATTTCTTCAGACAGGTTTTTTATGACATTTGGCACTTCTTTTAATTTAACAATTTTTGTGTATCCTTAATACCTGCCAAGAACATGGCTGTTTTCCCCTAGTTATAAATTATACTTTCTCATACTGCTACATGTGTATCAACACATTGCACACGTTCATTTATAATACTTACATTTGATGCAGATAAGATGGTGAAGCTGATATCTGATGAATTCTGATGACGATTTGGTTTTCCACTTACAGTGACACGGATTCGATCACAGGGACACATGAGAGTTAGCTTCAATGTGGTGACAAGGGATCTTGCCCGATTTGGATACAAAAACCATAGTACACATGCCAGCAGTGTTGCTTGTACAGGACCAAGTCAGTGATGTTAAATGAAATGTGATATGTTTGATATTTATTTATTTTTTTCCTTGGCCCTACAGTCCCAGTGGGCCTAGGCCTACCTCCATGAACTTCTCCGTTCACTTTGGTTTTCTAGATCTTACACATTTGGTAGGACTCCTTGGGCGGGTGATCAGCTCATCGCAAGGCCTCTACCTGTACACAAACAGAAAAACGCACACACACAAACTAAACATCCATGCCTTGAGTGGGATTCGAACCCACGATCCCGGTTTCCAAGCAAGCGAAGACAGTACATGCCTTAGACCGCTCGGCTACCGTGACCGGCGTTTGATATTTATGGTGATTTTGAATTGTACACAACACACAACGCATAGGAAACATCTAACCATAAGCCTATACAACCTCAAGCTGACATCTCCCATCATCGGGATGAATTAACAAGGAGGAGCCTAACATTTTACTTCAAATGTTTTAAACTTTTAAATATTTTAACATTGACAGTTTAATTTGAGGGCAATTTCGGATGGAATGCGAGAGTTGAACGTGCATTCAGTATTCCTAGCAAGTGTTGTGCTTTTACACATCGACATTTGTAGCAGCGTCCATGCAGCATATATACTGTGTACATTAAACAATGCCAGTGTTTTCATGTGTTTGTAATATGTGCCTCTGATGATGGTTTTATTAAACCGAAACATGTAAGGCAAATGTGATAAAGAAGTGACCTAAAAACATTGTTACACTCCACGGACTTTCTATTGACTTTGTTTATGGTGATATTTATTTTAGTGCATATGAATACATTACAATGTTACTACAGCTGGCAGTAATCGTCTTCATCTGTAGTATGGTGTCAGCCATCCCCTGAAACAATCATAACTCAGTAAATTTCATTCTAGGATGAATTAAATTCTAATTGTATTGGCACTATTCATGTGAAATGTGAAGTTTTCACACTTGTGTCAACATATGGCCTTCTGAAATATGTAGTATGATGGATGTTTAGAAGTCAGACTGCTGAGATCTGGCATCCTTGAGGCCAGACTGGAACCAGAACAGAGGATTTTCCAAATCATGATCGTGTGGTCAACATATTGTCACGTATAAAGTGTTCATATGAATAATAATAATGGGTTCTGGATTAGAGGGATAGATTTATTGGACACACAAAAGTTCTAATGACAAATAATTATAATGCTCTAAATATTACTCTAATCATAACACATAAAATAAAGTCTTCTACATCTGCTTACTAGTCATTGTTTGGTAATCTCGCTCTCTTGAACCATGTCTGTCTGACGAATGAATGAAGAATCTCCATGACTTCTTATATAGACTAGCTCATATGCATGGAAATTTCTGTAAATGATTTGTTGTCACGAAAAACATGCTTTTCAAACCTTTAGCTACTAACCAACTGATGTTCTGTTGTTGACTGCATTACCTCAGGAATGTATTTCCCCAATAGGTTTTTCTGGCTTCATAGCTTAATGCTTTGAGCAAATCCATCACAATGTTATGATACTAAATCACCTAAGTAACCCACATTAAGGTGTAAATTACAAAGCAAAACACTGCTATTCACAGTTTATATATCCTGTGCCATGACTGATGGATGCAAGCAATCAGTGGTGAACTGTGCTGGTGGCAGAAAGTAGCTATCCAGAAAAACTATGCTATACTCGAATGGGAATGCTGTATTTGAGAGGTCTAATCTGCTAATATTTTGGAAGATCTACTTCCATAAGTGTTACTGTACTTATTTTCCTTTCTGTTACCTGCATATTTTCCTTTTGTTGTCTCTCAATTTTTCTTTTTGCCGTCTATTCTTAAAAAACAGCCCTTCTTACAGCCGCTGGTTTCTCTTAGTTCACTCACATCTCCAGTGCTGACCATCCCTACCCTACATCCATACCAATTTCCCTGCACAACTTATCTTCCACTCTGAAGATTGAGGTGGAATGTTCCTCTGGAACATTGATTTCTGTGTACAAAACTACATGGAACCACTAATATTAGGTATTTTAAAATGTTATGTAATTTTCTTGGTTTGGAATGGAAGTTCTGTGAGGCTGCCAAAATGTTTGAACTGGATTCTATACTTCTAAATTATTGTGAAGGCTCTATTATTGCATGTAGAGCTGTCTTATATAAACATCAGTTGATGTACTTAAAGCATTTCAGTCTAAACTATAAGCAGAAGCAGAATTTCATTTCTCAATAAAACCACAAATTTCACCAATTTGTAGTCAACTCAGCTGTTGCGATTATCTGCGACTCCCATTATAATTCACACCAGTGTTCATAAGCATGATTTGTTTGTGAAAACGGAGTGCTTCATAGGAGAATTGAAATTGGCATTTAGGTAGCAAAAATTTTACATGATGCATCTCACCCCTAATGTAGTACAGGAGTGTTTCACAATAAGCTGTTCAAGTTTTACTTATTTGCATTAATGCTGTTATATAGCCACTGTTCAGACTGGTGCTGTGAACTGTTCATGACAATACTCAGTGTCATACAACTTCTCTTGTAATATTTGTTTCTGAAGATTTGATGGAGGAGTTATTAACGTCTCCCCAAATTAATATAACTTATAAATATAAACATGCATTTTAATTTTGCTTTTTAAAAATTGTTTAAAAATTAAACACTGAGGCTGTACAGTCTAAAGTATTTACTGTGTTCAGCAACTCAAAATATTAGGATTATGGATATGAATCACATATGGATTCAGGGATCAGCTAAGAGCATTATGCAGATCTGCCTGTACCTTTTGAGATGGAGACAGAAAGATAATGCTGAAATAGCTCACAGGGAACAAGAGTTGGGAAAATATAAACTGGCTCAGCAGTAGAGCCCTGAGGTGCAATTTTGTAGTTCTGTACCACTTGGAAATTAATTGAACCCATCATAATATGTTCTAGTAAGAAATTTGCCTTATAGCACATATTATGCAAATAATATTGCACATGCATGGTATTGGTATGTTGTTCTTGTAATGTGTATCTCTTACCTCTTGAGGTAGTGTGTACGACGATTCTTGGCTGAAGTCAGGTTTAATCCATAGGTATTCAGTAATTCCATAATAACACCATTTGTCCAACCAAATCCTGATTGTACTGTATACTCCCCTCCACCTCCATATTTTCCAGGATACTCAGCATCATACTGTGAACAGGACAGTGGTGCTTCAGAATCGTAAAAATTCATTCTTATGGTATGCGCATGTACAGTGGAACCTCACTTAACGAGCATAATTCGTTCCAGAATCTTACTTGTAATGCGAAACACTCGTTAAGCGAAACAATTTTTCCCATATAAATTAATGTAAAATACAATAATGTGTTACATGTCAAAAAAAAACTCAAAAAATTTTATGTATAACGTTTATTCAAAGAAAATTTATATACATTGTTAAGGAGCGTGAATCATCATCTTTTCTTCTATACGGAATGAACCAACTTGGAATGCGATTTCGTTTATCCATATGAGGAGCAACCTTTCAACATCGTCGAGAATACGTAACCGTTGCGTATATATTCTTGTCACTCCCTTGGAAGCATCTATCTCCTTAAACCTGTCCTTATTATTGAGGATAGTGCAAATCGTTGATGTAGACCGACTGTATGTGCGTGCTAGATCAGCCACGCTCACACCTCGTTCTCGCATTTCAATTATTTTACGTTTCATTTCTACGGTTATTTTTATTCCCTTATGGCTGTCTTTTTGTGGCTTTTTATTCGGGAACATTTTTGCGAGGGTTATTAAACTTTGCACCAAAAAAATCACAAATAATGTCTGAACACAAGTTTGGAAAAATGTGCGATCACAAGTGACACTAAGATGCTAGCGGAACGAGTGCTAAACACAGACTATGTAGCAAATGCACAATCCGGGACTTCCCCTCTCGTCACTCGTTATGTGGAACGTCGCTTGTTAAGCGAGTCATTTTTTTACAATTTGTTTTGCTCATTATGCGAATTACTCATTATGAGAGGTGCTCATTAAGCGAGGTTCCACTGTATGTAGTATAGGCATTCTTTTTTTATGTGTATATACCAAATGTCAAACACTTTTTCTTCTAACAACTCCAGGAGTCTGAACTACAAGAAAATATTAAATTATTCATAGTAAGAATTAAATTTCTTAGGAATATATTGTATTTCCTGTCTGTTGGGTTTATTACTCATACCTTAAATAAAGCCCTGACTGCTTCCTACCATATTTTTTTAATTCACTGTTTGCTAATGACTAGGGCCCGGATTTCTATGACATGTCATATTTTTTTCCTAGGGTTTATTCCTATTTTTAAATGTAATTATGCATGTTTCCAGTCATTCTTATTGAAATTATGTCGTTTTTATTGTGCATATAAATGCATATTTTAGAGTTTTTTTGATTTTACAGCATATTTTGGCATAATTTTGAAATAAGGTCATATTTTTGTCATTTTAGAAACAATTCTTTGATATAATGTAAAATTTCGGTTCCATAATGTTTAGTATTACAAAATAAATTCCAGGCTGGACTGTTGCTTCAATGTGGAATAGAGTTCAAGTACATGAAGTTCGTATTAAAAACCATATATTTGACTGGACTGTACTTGCAGTTACAAAGGCGAAAATTTGTGAAATGTAGCATTTATGACCTGGCAAGCCGGCTTTTCCCAGTCGAGGCGGGAGGGAGGCAAGTGTAACGGGTATTTTCCTATTGTACTCCGTCTTACTATAAGGTATATACATCCCATTCTTTCTTGGAGGGCTTAGAAGTATTCTATTTATATATGTGGAGGGCGTTATAAGACTTCAGTTTGACCTTACAATGCCTAAAGTGAGTACATGTAGTTCAAGGAGCGCAAGGTTGCGTAGTTTTGTACAGGAGTTTGGTGATAAAGTGTTTAGTACCGATGGCAAGATATTTTATTGTAAGTTGTGTGGCGTGAAAGTTACGGCAGAAAAGCGATTTACTGTGCAGCAGCATTGTAAAACTTTTAAACATGGTAAATGTTTAAGCAGATTATCTACAAAGGATAGCAGACAAAGTTTGTTGTTTAAAAACAGTTCCACTAATTCTTCTTCTTCTTCTTCTTCTTCTTCTTCTTCTCCTTCACCTTCTTCAACGAACAATGGGTCGGAATTTTCGAAGGATTTGTGTCAGTGGATGGTATCTTCGAATATTCCATTAGAGAAATTGCATAATCAGCACTTCAGACAATTTTTGGAGACATACACTAGTCATCCTATCCCAAGTGAATCGACGTTAAGAAAGAATTATCTCTCTACATGTTATGAAGATATGTTAAATAAGATTCGAACATCTGTTGCTGACAACAAGATATGGGTTTCCTTGGACGAGACTTCTGACGTAGATGGGCGGTATATTGCGAATGTTATAGTTGGGACCCTGAAACAAGATCAACCTGGAGAGAGATTTCTTCTTGACTGTGAAGTTCTCGAAAGAGCAAATCATTCGACTATAGCTGTCCTATTTGATAATTCCATGAAGTTGTTGTGGCCAAATGGAATACAGCGAAATAATGTCCTTCTCCTAGTAACAGATGCCGCTCCATACATGAAGAAGGCTGCCAAAGGACTTCGAATCCTCTACCCGAAAATGGTCCATATTACTTGCCTCGCTCATGCATTGCATAGAGTGGCTGAAGAAGTTCGAGGACATTTTCCTGATGTAGATAGGCTAGTTTCAAATGGAAAGAAAATATTCATCAAGGCCCCTCTTCGAGTGCAGAAATTTAAACAAGAAGCTCCTCTACTGCCACTTCCTCCACAGCCTGTCGTCACACGGTGGGGTACATGGTTGGATGCTGTGGCATATTATTGTGAAAATTACACAGCCATTGAGAAAATGTTTAATGGCTTTGACAGCAGTGAGTCAACATCAATTAAAGCTGTCAAGGACTTATTCTCTACCACTCTAGCACAAAATCTGGCATACATAAAGTCAAACTTCTGTTCAATTTCAGGTGCAATAACTCGCCTGGAATTTGTAGGGACTGAACTCTGTGACGCGTTGGACACTGTAAAGAGCATTGAGAATGAACTAAACCGAACTCGTGGTGAAATAAGTGACAGGATTAAAACCAAAATAGAAAGTGTTCTTCATCGGAATGCTGGTTATTCAACATTATGCAAGATTGCAGATATACTTTCCGGTAAACTAGCAACATTCGAAGATGATACAGAACTGTCACCAAACGACTTGACATTCTTCAAATATGCTCCTGTCACATCATGTGATGTGGAACGAAGTTTTTCCAAATACAAAACTATCCTTAGTGATAATCGGCGATCTTTCAAATTTGAAAATTTGAAAATGCATGTAGTTATAAATTGCAATTGTAACAGTGAAAATTGAGACGTGAATAGCTTGTGTTCTTTTAAATGGTGTTTTTAGATAACAGAGTTAAGTTAGTGTTCATACCATGTGCACCAGTGTTTGTCTAAAATATGAACGCAAATATCAGTATTAAAAAGAAAGCAATGAATGGTTTAATCCAGTACGAAATGTCGAAATTCCATCAGTTTTCTTTCCTTCAGAGACATAATAGGGCTAATTTGGTAAGTAGGACCTACTATCATATATTCATCATCTTTATTCTTAATTATTTTATTCTTATCTTTAATTAAAATTGTGAAATTTTATGTCCCATTTAATATTTAAGGTCATATTTGACATAATTTTGGGTCATAAGTGCATGCATATATTTATAGTTTTTAGGTCATAAAAATCCTGGCCCTACTAATGACCCTTAAGCAAACCAAGAATAGATAAATAAATAAACATTGTCCTGTCTTTTTTGTGGTTAATAAATAATTATATAAAACAAAATATGTTTACATTATATTTTACTGGTCAGTATTGTAATATATTATAGTTCTTATTTCAGAGGTGTTATGGGTCACATAATATATGATTCAAAACTGGAAAAAAAAAGGAGATATGATACAAATTTATGATGCCTACTTGCTTATAAACACCTGATACTATGTAAAAGGTAACTCAGGAACAGTACCATCATTTCTCTGTTAACTGTACAGATGGAGTATCATCTGCTATAATCATAAATCTTATTCTTACCTTTTCAAACATCTCCTTTGCATCAAGATAACCCTTGTGATTTGCATATATCCAGTTTCGTGCCAGTTCATAAGCCAAATTATTGGCACCTGGATCTTTTGTATATAAAAGACCCTGGATAACAATGATCTGTAGGGGTGGCCATGCATTAGGTAAGTCCCATTGCTCATCTGTCAGCTCCAGTGATGTTGGTATTCCTCCTAAATAACTGCGAATTGTTTCATCACTAATGTATTGTACTGTTTTGTGAGCATAGTATTCTGAAAATGCCTGAAAAATGTAAAGTACTTTATTGGCCTTGCCACTTGAAAGGGAAAACAAGTAGGGGAGCTGTAAGCCAATCTGTAGCACAGATGGCACATTTCATAACATTAACTTTCATTATCCAGGAATCTATGATGCTCTCATTTGGAGCATAGTGCATCCATGAAACGTTTGTTTCACTTCAGTTTCTTAATGTTAGACAGTTGGTAGGACTACTTGGATGAGGTATCAGCCCATCACAAGGCTGCTACCTATACATGAACACAGAATAAACACAAATATCCATTCCTTGAGTGGGATTCAAACCCATGATCCCAGTGTTCTAAGGGGTGAAGACATTTCATTCTTAAACCATGTGGCCACTGTGACCGGCCATCCAGAAATTGGAGAGTGGAAGTTCTCCATACTACAGGGATTGTGGTCAAATTTTAACTCTTGGAACTTGGTTTGCATTTCTTTCCCATCCATATAATAAACAGTCTCTTTGTTAGTGGATAAAATTACTCGTACATGGTGAATTATTCCTTGCAGAGGGAAGTGAAGCATTTTGTAATAAAATGCAGTATGCAAGTGAGCACAAAAATTAGTCCAAATGAATTAATATCTCTGTGCTATTGAACCTCAAAGTTCCTTATTTCTAAAACCCATTAGTGGATTTTATGCTGAGTTAATTTCATCCAATTCAACATCACAAATATGTATTTCTTTACAATTGATTTTGGTGTTATTGTCATAATGACAGCTTGGTCTTCCTGTGTTCTTTTAGTATGTTCTTGCTGTTGTGTTTTGGTGTTATGTCTCCAGATGTGGTCTTTAACGATCCTGGCCTATGCCTATATGACAAGCGTGAACATAAGGATGCCTAGTTTGCATTATAGCATCTTATATGATGTGATTTCCGTTTTGCCTCTGATGATAGAATAACAGCAGAGACGAAAATGAAGGACAAGTCAAGAGGACCTACAGCTTTCCCATTAATTTAGCATTATCATCATACAATATAATTAATATCAAATTTACGTTTATGAACTTTTTGTAAAGTATATTCAGTCTCAACAATTCATAATTTTATTGTAATATATACAGAGATATTTTTATGCACTGACCTGCAGGAACTCTTTAGTAACAGTGTACAGATAAGAAATCACTTGATATTGCAACCTAAGTTTGTCCTTTACAGAAATGTCCACATGGAGCAGCAAGAAGTTCTAGGAAGAACTAATCGACTACTTTCCTTCGATACAACACAGACCATTTAGGAAATGACTGTCCAATGGTTCTTCCATTGTTGCATGTGTATTCATTTCTGTGATAATGTTTTTATCAAGCCATTGCCTAGCAATGATAGAGGAATGCACATACAAACACAGCATGTTGAGAGGGATTTATGAAGTATGCCATCGAAAACTGGCTCAGGTGCAATAATATACATACCAAGTTTCATAGTGATCAGTTCAGGCATTTAGAAGTTGACGGAGATTCACAGACACAGACAGCATGGCGATCTTATAAGCCTACTTTTATTGTTTTCAAAATAAGAAGAGTAGGCTAAAAATATAGCAAGCTAATGAGTTATGTTATATGTATTTAACTTTTATTTTGTGGGAAGTGTGAGGAATAATTTGAAAATTTGAACTGGATGCAGAAGTATGTACCAAAATTTTTGAACTATACTTGTAACCGTCCCCTTTCTATCTTTGTGTTTATTTACCGACTTCGGTAAATCACTTGACTCTTATCAGGATCGTGTTATGGTAATAACTGAGGCTACGGAGAAACTGCACATTTAAAGCCAGTCCACTGCTAGAAATCAACGACGCTATTTCTGCTCTCCACAAATTGTTTATTCAGAAGCGAAATACTATAACTTCATTAGCAAGTACGGAGTAATGGGCCCTTTTATTACTATCAAAGATTAATAAACCAAATAAAGACTGATAAATTTAGATAAACTTGGAGAGTGCAGCCAAATGACGTCTGCCTCCGACGAATTAAAAACGCCCAGTCCTTCTGCAAACTCTATCCTGCGGGAAGCGTCGCTTCATCCCCTGTATAGGATTTGAATCGACGGCCTCTCTCCCAGACAAGAATAGTTTCCTATTGGCTGATTTTAACTGGCCAAATCAATCATGCAATCAGCACTACACAATTACATAATGAACTTTGAGAATAAAGAGATCCAAAGATATAGAACCCGGTACCCCACATGTGAAAGCGGTTATTTCTTAGTTTAAGGTCCAATTACACTCTTCTGAAGACACTTTTATAACAGCTACACTATCAGTAAAACAAAATTTACATCTTCGGCAAACTACAGACTTGCCTTCCCATGGTGGCCTCGTCCCTTTTTCGGTCATCCAAGCTGCAGGTAACAAAACAAGGCTGTTGTTCCTGTCCAGATGCAAAAAGCAAGTCATAACATGCTAATGAATCGGTCTCCCCAATAAATCAGTCAATCTAGTGAAATGGCTAAAGAGGACCATAGCGTCCCTTGAAGAGTTGTAAAAGGTTTGGACTGTCACATACTGAAGCCATGGAAAGCTTCCTCTTTACTGCCTGCAGCTATATTTCTCTTCAACCTACTGTGGTGTGTATCAGCCTTGTTGCTAGTGAAGCTTATTACATGATTATTGCTATTAATGTTCCTATGAATACAGCAGCCAGATGACTGGTGGGAAATGTAGGGAAGTGGTGGAAGCATAACTGCTTACAGGGATGATTCATGATTCATGGGTCTTCTTTCCATAAGCTTAGTACAGTGCTGTAATATGTCAAAATTCATGGAAATAATGTAATATGTTAATTATTTAGTTATAACTCTTACTTCATCGTAACACTGTGTCCACAGTGGTGCCAAGTTGGACGGGTAGAAGTATTCTCTGGATTTGTTGTTGAGAATGTCATAGTCAAGCCAGGTTCCAACCTTTTCATTCCAATGCACAGCAGTCACAGCAGCCTTCCACTGCTCGGCCACATTGTGATAATGCTGAGATTTTTCGAGATTACCCAGCTTTTCGTAAAATTTTGCAAGGAGCACTGCATCCCAGAACAGAAAAGAATTCAGATCCACTGGGATGATGTTTTCTGTCTGTATGTTAAGTAGATCTCCTGTAACATTACATATATAACATAATGTAACAAGTGCAGAGTGATGCATGAATACTCCGGCCATTGGTTTCAGTGCTTAAATAACATTTTTTTTTATTCGTCAAAATGTTTCACTGTATGAACATGTGTTACAGTTATGCATTGTTTCTGAGTTACCTTTTACATAGTATTGGACGTGTAAGATGTACTTTTTAATACTCTATATGCCACAATACATTTAGAATCACCATTAGAGATATGCAGTATAATTTTAACACTGTTAAATAACTGTGACTGGATATTTATGATATGGTCCAGCAAGTACCATTTGTATTTGTAATGTATATCACAGGCTTTCATAATTTGATATGAACAGAGAACAATGTAGGCAGTGTATGAAAATATTTTAAGGTGTGCCAAAAACTGGCTCTTGGGGAGAAATTGCCATGTTGCACCGGTAATCTAATTTACAGCTACTGCAGTATAAAAATGTTAGGTCTAAGTAACTAAGTAACTTCATGGAACAGAGTTCTGTTTGTGAAGCAAACAGTTGCTCAGCTGGTCAAGAAAATTTCTGACTTTCATAAAACTCTAGGGTTAATTACCATGTTCACAAAAGCCTATCACCTGTAAGATATTAATTTTTAATTTTTCAGTTGGTTATGTAATAATGCTGTCATTGTTGAGACTATAAAGTATTGGATGATAAAAAAAGTTGTCCCTGTGCTTAATTAATTAAGCACTTTGACATGAAAGCGTTTGGGGGTGGGGTTGTATAGGTCCGTTTATTGTTGACCTCAGCATTTGATGGAGGTGGGTGGTCAGCTTTACACCCTGGCCACTTTTCCCCTGGAGGAAAGAGCCCCCAATTCCCATTGTATAGGAGGCTGGTTGGGCCCCAGAACTGATCTGGATGATGCAGAGGAGAGTAAAATCTGGCCCCTACCAGGACTTGAACTCCAACACCTTAGCCATCCAGCCGGTGGTTGGTTGCTATATTTACTGAATTATTCCAACTCTTAAAACCACTACATGATAGGATAACTAAATGACTGGTGAATGGATTCAGAAGGAAATGGTCATGGCCTAATCATGATAATGTCCTGGCATATTCCTGGAGGGACTGAGAAAAAAACAGAAAATCTCAGTCATGATAGCTGGTGTTCCAACCAAGATTCAGACTGAGCACTTTCCAAATACAAGGCTAGAGCATTACTTCTAGACCAACCTGTTCATTAGTATGATAATAAGACTTACAAGTTTCATTTGAAGTATTGTCCAATTTAGTGTGTGTTAAATTAAATTAAATGAAAATTGACTGATTTACCTAAAGCAAATGTGGCTTCCAAGGGACCAGTCGGAACTAAACTGATTTTGTATCACTGGCAGTATTGAACTGATTGTACATGTGCCCCCTGTGGGTTGTGAAAAACCTTATAAGGTGTACATGAAATGTATTTTATACGCTGACAGATGGGTCAAGAGGGCTTGAAAGATTGTCTTAACAATTTTATTTTGCACAGCTTCTTCTGTGTATGGAATAAATAGAGTTTGTTTAAAATGAAAACATCTTTGCATCTGTGTTTATAATACATCATAACAATTAGTTTGAGGTGCAGATTAAGTCATCATTGGAAAGGGGTAGATCTGTGCAAAGTTTTGCTTGGAGACTATGGTGTATGTCAACTGAAAAAGTTGCAGAAACACTCATATAGATCCTTCTACCAAATATTTATTTGAAGTGGTATTGGTTATATATATAATGTAAGAGAATTTTGAGGTTAATATTTGGGTTTGATAATTATCTCAACGGAGACCTCTGCATCTGAATATGGCACATCTTACATTCTGTGGTCAAATCAAGGACTCCTTTATCACATATTAGAGAAGTAGCTCAACATCCTTTGGTTACATTTTGCATTACTGCTTCAGTATTTATTAGTAGTGCTGATTTTTCCCCAAAACATTATTGCATGCATTTAGAATTAGCTGCTAGATTTTCTGTGTATCATAGCTGTGTTATGCAGCTTGAAGAAGAGGAGTGGGAAATTTCAATTTTGATTGAAAAGTCTTTTCACTCTAACCTGTAATATTTCTACACTGAAATACAAATATGCAGAACGGATTGGTCAAAAAGTTACAACTTAGACTTATATTCAGTAGGTGTTCGATTCAAATCTCAGCTGGGACGCTGGGTATCCTGACTGAGGTTTTTGTGGTTTTCCTCCCTCCAGGCAGTGCTAGGATATTACCTTGATTAGGCCACGGCCCCGTCCTTCAAAATCCTTTCTGATTCATCAGTCATTCTAGCATCATACACTATAAAGTCGATACCAAAAGCATTGTTAATTAACATAATTAAAAAAAGTTACAGATTGAGAATTAAAGGGTTAAGAGTATTGTTAAGAGGGTATTTAAAAAAAATCCTCATGTCTTTGATAATTGGAACACAAGTTGGAATGAATATACTAAGACACCATAGAAGTAGTTACTTTCAAGGGCAGAAATTTTGTTTCCGAAAGTAACATATTCTCTTCTTGTTCTCTGAAATAACACTGATTTTTTTTTAGATGTTAGCAAATCTGTCTAATTCTTTGATCTTACCAGCATTTGTACCATTGGCAATGAACCATCGACTAGAGAAATCCCAGCCAGACTCAGCTGCCGACTTTATATTGATGTAGAAGTCTTCCTTTTCCTTCTCAGTTGGAAAAAATTCTGCATTATGGTAGTCTTCACTGCAAGAGTGATACATGTGATTCTTTCAAGGCAACAATCAGCAGTTTTTATAACATGATTCTTTTTCATCATTCCTTTGCATTTAATGCATCTTTGTTTGTCACTTTTTCTACTGAAGGTGAGGGAAGAATGTAAGATGTAGCTGTTACATACATCATTTGAAAAGTTGTGAAATGGAGAATATGTAATGCAGGTTTGGTGGTGTAGGTCCAGAGATGTAACAACTAAATAAAAACTGGGTACTGAAAATATTAGATCAGGACTTCACTGCATTCTTCTCTGTAGTTCCTAAATAGGTGGCATTTCACTGTTATCACTTGTGCACTTTGTGAACATGAATCCGTCCAGCCATTTACAGAGATAGTAACTTAGATTAGACCATGACCACTTCCTTTCACACTTGTATCAGTTCATTATTTATCAATCATCCTATAATTTGATGATGTACAATCTTAGCAACTGTAATTATTGTTAAATAAATTAAGAATAAAGAAAAATTAACATGATGAAGTATGAATATATCTGGTATCAGTATCTGGAACAATTCCTTATGTGTTTCGGAGAGGCTCTCTTCAAATCTCTGCTGGAATGCTGGATATGACAGGATTTTTATGGTTTTCTTCAGTCCCTCCAGGCAAGTTTTGGGATAGTACCTTTCTATCTTTTTAATGAACAGGGTTGAATAACTGAATAGTGTAGAAAAAATGTGAATCTTACAAATAGAATAATAAAACAACGTTTTTAGTGGTTCCAGATGTTTTTTCAATATGAATTAGCCATGAAGATATGTGTAAAATAATTGCTTTCATAGTTCTATAATAGTGCAGTTTTCTCGAAATTTACCATATATAGATTTTATTAGACACTCTTCTTTCAACAGTACAGTTCAACAGGTACTTAACAGTTACATACCTATATGACTCTGGACGTGGTCCTTGTGTCGCAGCATAGTACCGAGCGAGTCTGTATTCTTTGCCTTGTTTGTTAACAGTCACAGTTCGGTTAGTCATCCAGAACTGGAACTCTGCCTCCAGCAGGTTAATATTGTTCCTAAGGAAGGTGATGTTACTGGTTTGAGTCACGTAACTATGCACCATGGGTATGAGGAGTGGTGGTTGAGAACGCTGAACATAATACACCCGTCCTCCGTTAGGCACAAACCCGTATTTTTCAACCATGGACAAGAAGTTCTCCAAGATGCCTCGTGTTGTGTGATACATTTCAGAGAGCAGCAGGCCTTGTATGATCCAATATGTGTCCCAGTAGTAGAACTCCCTAAACCTTCCACCTGTGGGAGCCACAAGAATTGGGGATCATTAATGAACTGCTAGAAATATCTAAGCACTTTCATTATTGCCATCACATCTGGCTCAGTTCTTCTAGATGTAAGTGTGGTTTAATCAGATGTGAAAGAAGAAGCAAAGGAGGCAACACTTTTTAAATTGAAAATTTACCTTAAGCTTTGGGCTGCATCACAGCTCAAGCGGTTAGTTGCTGGCTTCCCACCGCGGCGGCCCGGGTTCGATCTCGGGTCTGGTCAAGTGGGATTTGTGGTGGACAAAGTGGCGCTGGGCCAGGTTTTCTCTGAGTACTTCGGTTTCCCCTGCCAGTCTTAATTCCACCAATTGCTCCACAATCACCCTCACCTATCATCTGGGGCTGGTACAGTAGGCCAGAAGTGGCCGCAGTACAAGGGACTTAAGCTTAAACTTAACCATAACTTCAATTGTTTCATAATTTATATGAACACTTTTTATTAATTTAGCGTTTTATATAAAAAGTGTTGCCATGGTGTGCTGTTATATGCTGAGTAAAAAATCTCCAAGCATTTAAAATATCAGGTCCTTATGGTCTGCCTTGGTCTGACTTCAAAATCAAATTGAACATAACACCTAAATCATGTCTCCTGCATGGTATGTATCTGTTGTTCCATTGAAGTGAAAAGTTTATGATTATAGCCTACTTTGTTCGTTAACACTTACATTTTTTAATGTAGTTATTAATGTATTTAACGAGTACAAGAATCTTGAAACAGTTATAACAGAAGAGAATGCCATCTTCTGGGATGTGGCGCTATGTAGATATTGTGTAAACTGACGTTTAGGAGGAATGTATCGCCTCCATCTTCAGGGTATAAAAGTCAACGAGCGAGGAACCGGCGTGAGAAGGTGCTCGGTTTGCACAATATCTACACTGCGCCACAACCCAGAAGATGGCATTCTTCATAGTCACCGCCGTGAAAACCTCAAATCTTACAATTATAACAGAATTCACAGACTTGGCATTGCTAATACCAAAGCTTGCCATTTAGAATGACCCAGAACAAGTTCAGTCTTATTCAGATCCTGAAAACCGATTTCCACTGAAGATATGAATTTTTCTAATTGGACCTGCAGATGGGGAAGAGAGACAAATCGCAAGCAGGCAAATGACAGGCCTTGGAAAGGGCAGCAACTCCAGAGAGGTCTTGAAGGAGTAACTGTGAAAGATGAGATCCTGGAGAGAGCAATTACGAGGGCGTTCAAGTTCTAAGGTCTCCGATTTCTTTTTTCAGGGCTGGGAGCAGATAGACACATGCGGTTTAGTTTAAAATACGTGTGCACCCTTTGTGAATGCGTGACAGAGATGGCAGCACTGTATGGCACACAGAATTCTAGTGGCGGCGGCGAGAGGGGGGAGTGTTTTTGATACCTAAAATGGCGACGTTTTCATTACAAGAACGGCGAGTAATCATTCGTTTTCTACACTTGCGTGGTGCGACACCCATTGAAATTCATCGCCAGTTGAGTGAGACATGTGGTGATGGTGTCATGAATGTGAAAAATGTGCGTTCGTGGGTGCGACAGTTCAAAGAAGGCCGAACGTCGTGTGACAACAAACCAAAACAATCTTGGCCCCCCACCAGCCGTTCTGACAACATGGTCGAGCGAGTTGAGAAAGTTGTTTTGGAGGATTGGCGATTGAGTGTGGAAAACATCGCCTCCAAAGTTGGCATTTCCGTGGGATCTGTGCACACAATCCTGCATGAAGACCTGCGAATGCGGAAAATGTCCTCCAGGTGGGTGCCACGAATTCTGGCGGACGACCACAAAGCTGCGCGCATGGCAATTTGCCAGGCGATGTTGACACGTGATGAAGGCATGAATGGGACTTTCTTTTCATCAACTGTGGCAATGGATGAGACATGGATGCCGTTTTTCAATCCTAAAATGAAGCGCCAGTCAGCTCAATGGAAGCACACAGACTCACCGCCACCAAAAAGAATTTCGGGTAAGCGCCAGTGCGGAAAAAATGATGACGGCCATGTTTTGGGACAGCGATGGCATAATCCTTACTCATTGCGTTCCAAAGGGCACTACGGTGACAGGTGCAGCCTACCAAGATGTTTTGAAGAATAAGCTCCTTCCAGCACTGCGAGAAAAACGGTCGGAAAAGGCTGCACGTGTGCTGTTTCACCAGGACAATGCACCAGAGCATCGGGCGTACGCGACGCAGCAGTTTCTTCATGAAAACAACCTTGAAGTGGTTTCTCATGCTCCCTACTCACCTGACCTGGCTCCTAGCGATTTTTGGCTTTTCCCAACGATGAAAGACAGTCTCCGTGGTCGCACATTCACCAGTCATGCCGTTATTGCATCAGCGATTTTCCAGTGGTCAAAACAGACTCCTACAGAAGCGTTCGCAGCGGCCATGGAGTCATGGCGTCGCCGTTGTGAAAAATGTGTCCGGCTGCAGGGAGATTACGTTGAAAAGTGACAGAAGTTTCAAATTTTTTGTATGATTATTGTGTGAGAAAAAAAATCGGAGACCTTAGAACTTGAACGCATCACGTACAAAAGAGACTTTTTAGGGTCCATTGGCAGGGAAATCCAAGTAAAAATTTGTGCCATAAGAAAACATTCCATATTTATGATGTAGCATATTGTAGCCCTCACAAATTCGTACTTACTCCGTCCATGATCTCTTACAAATCGTGTAAAGAAATTGTAAAGTATAAACTACACGCTTAGGCTCATTTTGTAAAGAAATTACAAATGACATGCTGATATCAGTGCTGCAAACGTTTATTGCTATAGCGGAACTACTTTAAGTACGAATTCAGATAAGCTGAAATTTATGCAGCTATGTAAAATCATACTGTCTGTATTTGTGTACATGTAGGCAGGAGGAAGCGTCCTTTAGTTACTGTCGTGAATAAGAAACTCCGGTAATCTTCGTGTGTGTTTGGAAGGCTACTGTTGAATGCTGAATATATGCACAAGTTCGGAAATATTTGCGTGGCATAACAATTCTTGTTCAGTTACCTTGAAATCCATAAAACTTTCGGAGGTGTTTTAAAAGTTAAATGTGTTTCATTTTCTTCTACAATTTTTTTAGAAATATATTTCGCTTCTAATTATACTCGAGATACGCGCAGCGTCGGGTAGGACTTCGTGTACAGTATCTGTCATTTCTGTTCGATTTTAACCAAAACTCAAATGTTTTGACGAATCGTAGTAAAACTCCGCGATATCAAATTTCAGCCGTTCTCGAGAGAGAGAGAGAGAGACGTACAGATGGACGGAGCGATTTTAATAGGGGCTATATAGGGTTGCAAACACCAATTGAAAGAATAGGCGAGCAAGGTCTCCAGTATAAAATTTGATCAATATCTGTCAGGCTTATCCAGATTTATGTCTCTGCAGTTTATATTTAGCGAGTTCACGCGTGATACACGCACAGAAACGGATGTAGGCCTTCATGTACTCGTAAATGTCTGTTATTTCGATTCGTTTTTAACTAAAATGTAATATGTCGACAGATTTAGTCAAATTTGATGACAGTCCATTCGTATGTTCTGAAGATACTACATACAGAGAGAGAAAGAGAGACAGGCAGACACGCAAAAAGACATGGCGGAGATAATAGCATCATATTTCCTTTCAAATTTAGGTTGCGACTGCTCCATAATATGGGAAAGTCTTAGGAGTGTCGTCCCTTGGTTCGATCGAGGGTCTTTTCTGATGACTGCCTGATATTTCACGGTCGAGTTAGGTCACTTGCCTGGAATTACAAAGCCGTTGGGTACGTAGATGATGGAGTACTCGTCAGGGTGCTCATGGACGTCGTCAGACATTTTGCGACTGAGGTTCTTCCATAAAACATTTAGATCTCTCGCCCATTCCCGAAGATCAGGGTCTGCGATTTTCTGCAGTATTGCTGGGTTCTCTACCCAGTCACCAGGGACCCAAGGCTGAAGCTCGTTGCCTTCAACGAACGTCCTTTCCACGAACTCTATCACCTGAAAAGTTCGGACATTCTTTCTGATCATAACTCGAGAACTTCAGGCTAGTGTCTTTTCATGAACACCATAACTAATATGCTCAAAGACCCGACTGTAAGGAGCCACCATATAGGCCAGAGGGTGGAAATTACAAGAGGCAGTTACCGCCTTTAAAGAATCATGCCAAACCCATGAATATATTATATTATCTGTGATAACGTTGGAAGAAATCATCAAACCAGTGAGCAACTCAAAAATATTTCTTAGCCATAATTTTTCATTAATTTTCATGGCTAAATCGTTTTAAATTCTTCTCAGGCCGTCTGCTGAGAGGTTTCCCATATGTGACAAGTTATTGTTATCTTGGATTGATCACTGTACCAGATTAGCTGAAACAGAACTCACAGAGATATTGGGTTTTCGGGCTTTATCCATCGTCCTGGTTTTTAAGATAACTAAGAAAAACACGACGTTTCGGAAACTAGATCTGTTTCCGTCCTCCGGTGAGGGAAAATACCTATTCTGTTGGGTCCCTTAGAAAGAGCTAGCCTCAATCACTGGACCAGTGTTTTCCCTCACCTGAGGACGGAAACAGATCCAGTTTCCGAAACGTGTTTTTCTTAGTTATCTTAAAAACCAGGACGATGGACAAAGTCCGAAAACCCAATATCTCTATGTGTTATACACCATCGTCAGAATCCTATAGTAACTACCTGAAACAGAACTGTTTCCGAATAACATGCCAGCATCCTTGACATCATGTAGTAATAATGCTTTTTTTTTCTCTTGCAAAATAAAAAAATAGTTTCTTTTTCTACAAGATTCAAATGTGTCAGTCTAGAAGCCAAAAGTTCAGACTGTATTTTTATGCATTTATTGGAATTTCTCACAGCGCTCATTATGAAGATTTCTACCTCCTGCGATATAAGGTATATAATCCGTTGAAAGTAAACTGATATTTTGGAGGGATATATCGCCGCCTGCTTTCCGCTTGTTTCCTTCTTGGCTTATTCTTCGACCCAGAAGATGTAGGCGAAATATTCCTCCGAAACATCAGTTGACTTCCTGCGGAATACAAAGCGCTATATCCCAGATGATAGAACACTTCAATATGATTCAAATTACCAGAAATTAAGAGACCTAACAAATAAAATACAAGATATTCACCGAGCGAAATCAGATGAGTAAATTACAAAGTCTAGACGTAAGCTGTTTGACAAAATTCAACACAACAGAAATGTCCCAAACATGAACATGCAAACAGTGACATGCAGAGCCTCACAAAGAAGGGAGTGGAAGACCCTTCCATCTTCCTATTGCAATGTACATCCGAATTAATATAAGTCCATATGTCGCTAAAAACTGTGGGTAATACTCGTAGAAGAATTCTGTTTTCATTTTAATAATCAGCGCGAAAATTTGCTTATAGACGGTGCTATAAAAGACGAAAGGGCAGGAGTGCGTATCCTGTCTTCTCAGCTGTATGACTGTACCGTTATTTTGCTATCGAAGGTTCCATCTTTAAATTGTCTCCAAGATTTCCATCTGTTTTATACTATGGCGTATTTACTCCATGCAAGAACTGTTGGGCCACAGAAACAGCCGATGCTAATAAACGCTCGCAACAATAGAACAGTGGGGTTATGCAACCCTTTTCTATGAAACTGCTCGGTAAACACATTTCCGCATAGGCAGTGACGTCACACAACAGTGGATAGCGACCACGTGACGTGTTTTCTGTAAGCCCGCGCCGAAGGTATATAGGAGACAACGAAGGTCGTTTACAAGCAGTCGTAAGCCTAAGGAGTGAGCAGTAAGCTGGAGGAGTGAGTAATAGACGGAGTTTTAGTTGAGTTCCGAGGTTCCAAGGGTGTTTGAACAAACATGACAAGTCTTCATAGTGATTTGAAGTGTTAGTATCTGTGTTGAGATCCGTTGCTAGGAGAAGACTAATGCAAATTGAGTCCTAGTGCTTGTGCAACCGTAAACTGGAAAGTGTGTAAATCAGCAATAGCGCTGTATTGATTATAATTAAGGGAGATAGTAACCGAAATGCTAATAAATCCAATCATCCTATCTAGAACCCATTGTTTTCGTCACGCGTACCCCGACACGTGACAATATATTAAGTATTAACTATTTACCATTGATCGGTAAATCAGCAAATAAATAAATCAGTTAAGCTATACGTACTTTCTTTAAAAAAAAGTGTTAGAATGTGGATTGTATTCATTTGATTCAGGATAGCCCCCAGTGGCGGCCATTTGTGAATATGGTAATGAATTTTAGGGTCACGCAAAAGGCAGAGCTTTTTGATTAACTGGACGACTATCGGCTTCAAAAGAAAACTTTATTCTATAGAGTCAGATATTCAGTACTTTCTTACGAGATAATGAGTTAATTAATTTTAAAATAAATACTAAATATAGTATCCTATTTGAAGACAAGTTTAAAGTAGTTATAATATTCGTAATTTAGATGTCTTATATGTGCAAGTGATTAGTATATGGACATTAGATATTCAATATATATATATATACTCTGCAAGTATACGTATATATATATATACGTATACTTGCAGAGTGACGCAAAAGTAGCACTACAGCTGTAAGACAGGTTGTGAGTTGCCATGACAAGGATATTTCTCCTTTTTTGTCCGGGTGTACGAGGCTTTTAGCGCAAAGGTAGATGATGTTGTGACGTGCGTATAGAACTGTCCACGAAAGACGTGAACTATGTGCTCATTATGCTGATCGCTAGTTCTAACAGATTTTTAACTAGTCTAAAATAATGCGGTGACACTCTTAATTAAAACGTAGCGCTTGATTTTCACCATATTCTTTTATATGCAGCTCTCAAGAAATGTAGACGGCGCCTTAGTGATGCGATAGCCATTCTGCCACGACTGTAAGATGGGTAATCTAAGCGTAATGTTGCAGGAATTCCGTATAATTCAGATAATACTAACATCCATTAGCAATATCGAAGAAAAGACAAAATTATATCAAAGCAAGTTTACCTTTATTGCTTGTATCCTGTTTTATATCATTAAAGGTAATATATCTTCTCCAGATTCGAGAATAAGCTAGAGTAGGTGAATCAGTTCAGTGACTGGACTACGGTTCGATTCAGGCAGAGGCTGTACTTTTCTCCTCGCCACCATATATACCGGTTCTGAGACCCACCAGTAGTCAACCCAATAGGTACCAAAGCTCTTTCTTGGGGGTAAAGCGGTCGGAACTTGTTACTTATGTCTAATATCTAGATCTGTAATGCGTGGAGCTACATCTCAATTTCCTTATATGTCTTTATGGCATGGTGCTAGACTAAGCATAGGGACAACTTTGGTTCACACATTATTCAATTGTAGGTTGTAGTGAGACTGAGTCCCTTGGAAATGGGGTCTTAAAGGCAACATATTGAACCAGTCACTGATGAGAGGTAAATATACAGAACCGACTGAATAAATTTGATTTGTTTCATTCTGGTCCGTCACACTAACAATTACAAATATAAATCACTCCGTCCAATGTGACCTGTAAGTTTATTACTACATGCAAACTTAACACCCTTACATGTTTCGGTCTCTGCGGACCATCTTCAGAGGGCAAACATCACTACAAATAGGAAACCACCATCACATAAGTTGTTTAGACGTAAAGTACGTACACTTATATGTTACAATGCATAGTACATAAAATAGAACATTTCACAAACACAGCAGTTTCCTGGGAATGTAAAGTTTTAAAAAATTATTTAAAATTTCTTGATGCTAATTAAAAATTTGCATTGTCAGTAATTAAAATTCATAAACCATGCAGGCTCGTGTTCGTCCTCCCATCGTCCCTCTTGTATGGGGCAGATATTGTGCCACCTGTCTATCTTGATGTCTATCTCCACATCAAGATAGACAGGTGGCACAATATCTGCACATTAATGAATTTGTTATCGAACTGGGCCCTCTGTCCTGAGAACCAGGTGACTAACCGCCTCAGCTCTGACACGATGTTTCTCTTGTCTTATTCAAGTTTCGAGCACATATTTCGGGAGCCCCTTGTACCTGATCTCTGTCGGGATTACCGCCTGTCTGTGCCATGAAGTCTTCAAACAGCTGCAGAGTTTCCGTCGGGGGTTGTCTTTGCTTCTTGTCCACGAACGTCTTGGAATCATTATATATGTCGGATAGCTGCACGGTCTTGAGTAGATCTCCATAACAGTAGATGGGACTGAAACAAGACATGTCTTGATTAGAGTACAGAGCTGCTGACGGATTACCGCAGGAACGGCCAAATATAATTGCCATTAATCCTGTCTCTCCAATTCGGGCAAAATATAGAGAAAGTGGAATCAGATTTTTGTGCTGTGTATATAGGCTGTATTTTTGGGGGTATTCTGGCCGTCAAAACTATAAAACATGAAACAATCTAATTGTTTACATTGGTTTTATTTAATAACTGCTACACCTTTCGATCCATATTTAGGACCATCTTCAGGCAGTTTCATTAAATATGTCTCACGTTATTGAAACATTTTAATATGGAGTCATATTAGTGTTAACCATTATAATCACAATACATGTAATTACTAAAATTATAAAATGAATTTAAAATTTAAAGTTTTAAAGTTCTCTCTTCGCTACAATGTAAACTAATATGTTACTTGTCGCGTATTGTAGGTTGTGTTTATCTGGAAGTAAGAAAGCGCGTGCATTACGGGGTATATGTATTTTAAACCTCGTGGTATAGGTAAACTACATACATATTTCTGATGCTATTCACATAGAGTATTATTATTATTATTAGTTTTCAGTTTTTATATACGATTCTTCTTATCTTCTTGAATATGATGTCGCCGAGTTTATCTGTGAATGGAATTGAGTGGAATTGTTTGTTTCCATATTTGTTTAAATTATAATATCTCGTTAAATATTAAAATCTTAATCTTATTGGTATTTAATTACTTCTAAAATTTTCTAATTTGGAATGTATTATTAATACTTATCTTAAGATTGTGCTGTGTACTTCCTGTCGTGTGAATGTCTTTATGTTTTTCCTGTTCCTGGTTTCAACGTGGACTGACTAGTGTTTTTGTGGTAGTGGGATAGTGGGTATGTAGCTTGGGTCATGTGATGTTCCGGGGAAAGGAGTAGTTGTATGTTTGGGAGTGGGGGGGGGGAGGTTGATGTGGGAGAGGCTTTTCTAAATGTGTACTATTGTCGGCATATTTTATTATGAGGTCAAATGTGAGGTTATGTATATATGTGAAAGTGTCTTTAATTTGTAGCTTCTGTCTACTCAAATCGTGCATGTGAAAGCTTTCACGTGTGTTTAGTCACTGGCCCTTCTTCTTATTTGTAGTACTTCCATTGTCTCCTCGATTGTATTATATGCATGTCCCATGCTGGGTATTTCGAAGTTAGCCTGTTTCTCTTGTGGCCTGAATATGTTCTCGATATCGAGTCCAACGTATCTTAATGAGCACTCATTTAGCATTTAGATGGTATATTCCAGTCTCATGTTATGTCTCTTATTTGCTCTCTGGGCTTTAGGTGGTTTTTGTTGTATCAGTAGTTTTGAAGGCTATTCCAGTGCCTCTGTTCTTAAGTAACTGTGTCATCATTCTCATTTCAGGGCCATAATATGCGAAAATGGCCCATTTTGTTTTCTGTGCCTTCTGTGGGTTTTCAGAAATGAGATTCTGTTTTTGTGTTGAGTGTATTATTTGTTGTTGGTAATTTTTTATTTATTTTTTTAGTATTACTTGGAGAGTTTCTAATTCTTGGTCTTCATTTCTGTAAGTAATTAGTTATATTTTCATTCGATTAATGAGGTAATTTGTCGAAGATTTCTTGTGTTCGTATGGGTAGCATGACTCGTTGTGTATGATTAGGTCCGTAGTAGTAGGTTTTCGACGTATTCCGAACGTTAGTTGGTTGTGTTTGTTCGTCATAATAAAATCTAGATAATTTAGTTTATTTTATATCTGCTTTTCAGTGCAGTAAAGCTATCATTTAACCAGGCCATGAAGGCCCATAGGATTGTGAGACGTTGAGGGTCCCACATTATCTAGACAATCGGCTCAAAGATGGCGGTAAGGTTGTCAGCCTTACGCGCCGGCCGCGCTTTACTCCCCAGGAAAATTATTTAATTAATTCCTAGTACTCATTAGAGGCTGAGTCGACCCCAGGGCCATAGTGCGGCTGGAAAGTTTCGGTCAATTAATAAAAATCCAATGACTTCATTGGGACTTGAACCCGCGACCTTCCGCCTTGTAGCATTGCCCTTCAACCAACTACGCTACCGCGTGTATTGAGTTAAGTTTCATCAAAGTGTTTTCTGTGATTGTTGTGTGTTGTATATAATTAATATGTCATTAAATACCTTTTTTGTTTGAATCGTGTTGAATGTCATATGATAACCAATAATTCCACTCACTGTCATTCACAGGACAACTCAATCAGTGTCATATTCAAGAAGAGGAAACATCACTTGATATAAATATTCTTTTAAGATTCGGTGAAGAATGCAAAACATGACATTGCTAATGATGCAATTTTATTTATTCATAAGTAAGTAAATCAAGATTTTCAAAAATATTAAATTTTTATCCATCTCCCAGATATGGAGAATGAATAATCGAATATTGCATCTGTCTATGCGGTCACGCGTAGCGTAGTTGGTTGAGGTGGCGGGTTCGATTCCAAATGAGGGCATTGGGTTTTTCAATTGACCTAATCCTTCCAGCCGCACTATGACCCTATGGTCGACTAATCCTCTAATAGTAATGAGTACCAGGAATCTTCCTGGAGATATGGGGCAGCCAGCGCATAAGGCTGACAACCTCACTGCCATCTGTGAGCCGATTATGTCGAAAAAATGTGGGAGCCTAGACGTCTCACAACCCTATGAGCCTGTGCGACCTATAACAGCTCACGTCTGACAAACCAATGGGCCTCCGTGGCCCGTAATAGCTCACGTCTCACAACCCTATGGGCCTCCGTGGCTTGTAACAGCTCATGTCTCATGACACTAAGGCCTCCGTGGCTTGTAACAGCTCATGTCTCATGACACTAAGGCCTCCGTGGCTTGTAACAGCTCCCTTCTCACACACCTGTGCGCCTCCGCGGCCTCTTACATCTCACGTCTCACAACACTCTGGTCCTGGTCCTTCGCGACCTGTAATAGCTCACGTCTCACGACCCTATGGGCCTCCGCGGCCCGTTACAGCTCACGTCTCACAACACTCTGGGCCTCCACGACCTGTAAGAGCTCACGTCTCACGACATTTTAAGCCTCCACGGCCTGTTACAGGGATAGCTTTACTTTACTAACTGTTCCTTACACAATCAATCTACTTGAGATATCTCAGCCGAAAGTATTATTGTGTGAGGGTAGTACGGTTGAATTTGTATTCAGTGTGGAATGTGGGTTAGGTATCACGGACATTTTGATGACACAACCAAGATATCTGCAGCGGGTTTTACGTGACCCATAAATAACAAAACACTGAACAGCTGATGATAAGAAACGTGCATGAGATATATTGGTTTATTGTGTTGTGGTTTATGTAACCACCTCGAACTGAAAATGATTCTACATCGAATTCCGGAGTCAGTTATCCTCTTTTTGTTTATTCCTATTTTCCTGGTTAGCTCGCAAATAAAATTTGCAAAAATGGGCCTGTTAGCCTCGCCATGTCCTTCTTTCTGCTTGTCAGCCCCCACGCAACTCCAGAACAGCTGATCAGATATTAATGAAATGTGATATGTGTTAGTTTTACTGAAATATGTCAGTCCATTCCTATTTATATTAAAAGCAGACAAAAATAACGGACACTTTACATGACAACCTGCATGACTCCTGTATAACTCGTTAAATATGTATTCGTATTCTTTGAAAAAGGCGTAGATATGAAAGAAACATATATTTTTGCCCAATATTCTTTTCCATGCCTTCTTTTAGTTTCGTGGGGCTGGTTGAGACTTAGGTCACTTGGTACGTCAGCCATTATTACGCCAGTCCCGGCCAGCGGATTTTTTTTCCTTGGCACTACAGCCCCAGTGGGCCTAGGCCTACCTCCATGAACTTCTCCGTTCACTTCGGTTTTTCTAGATCTTAGACATACGGTAGGACTCCTTGGGCGGGTGATCAGCTCGTCGCAAGGCCTCTACCTGTACACAAACACAGAAAAACCCACACACACAAACTAAACATCCATGCCCTGAGTGGGATTTGAACCCACGATCCCGGCTTCCGAGCGAGCGAAGACAGTACATGCCTTAGACCGCTCGGCTACCGTGACCGGCGCCCAGCGGATTATTATGTAGTACTTGGTGGAATGAGAATTGGCGGAGGAAACAAATGTACTCGGAAGAAACCAGCCACAGTGTCACTTTGTCCACCACAAATCCCACATGACCTGACTTTGGACCGAACTCTGGGCGCCGCGGTGCCGGCGACTAACCGTCTAAGTTATGGCACGGGTTTCCACACATTTTGTAGCTTTTAGATTAATAAACAAAAGCAAGCGAAATTACCTAATTATGATAAGCGTACATTTCTTTTCTTGTTATTAAGCAACTACAGGAGAATAATTTCAAGACAGAGACAAACGTAGAATAAAAGAGCTATCTCTGTAATAGGCCGTGAAGGACCATGGATTGTGAGACAATCGACTCACAGGTGGCGGTAAGATTGTCAGCTTTACGCGCCGGCCGCCCTTTACCCTCCAGGAAGATTCCTGGTGCTCATTTCTGTTAGAGGCTGAGTCGATAGCAGGGGCATAGTGCAATTGGATTAGGTAAATTGAAAAATCCACCTCGTCGGGACTCGAACCCCCGACCTTCCGGCTTGTAACACAGTGCCCCCTTTTCAAGACAGATGCGATGAGAAAGGGCATCGCCCTTTCAGAGAATTGAACTGAGGTTGTCCAATCAATATCTTGACTCCGCAACGAGCACAACGAATATCTAGTCAGGCAGGTATCCTCTGTGCCTTTCAGGTATCTGGCATCACAGTTATATACTATCACTGTCTACAAATTTCGACTTACGAAAGATAGGACTGAAGAAGTTTCGTGGTATTCAGTAGGTTTTCCGAGCCAGTCTCAGAACAGTACTTTAACATAGGCTTAACGATGTCCTGTCTCATCCAACCCCATTCATCATTCATAGGTACCTGTAACGGCGCGCCGCAATGGGCTGTGAAGACAATAAACTGTCGCACAA